TTCTTCTACTTATTCATTCTCTCCTCCAGTGCTAATACCCCTGTGCTACAGAGTTGTTTAGTTATTTTAACAGACTTACTGGTACTTGGAACAACAGAGGGGAAAACATACAATTACAAATACAATTCCTTAAAATAACTTGGTATATCCTGTGAAATTTGTAAATTTCTTGCAGGGATGTATCACAGTTTCCCACCAGGACCATTATTTTTTTCACCCATAATCATTCCCCAGTATGGAGCAAAATAGATAAATACTGGGAAAGTCATCATTTTGGCACTATTTTCTTTGGTAAAATAACAGGAAACGTTAGCTTAGATATTTCTGTGAATTCTCCAGTTGCGTTAACATACACTCATACAGCCATAAAGCGGTTAATAGCCTCCCAAATAAGGCTCTGGTATAGTTCTAGCTGATGCAAAATGTTGCATTTAGGATGCTTTTGTCCTCTAATGACTATGCATGCATATTTGGGTGTGTATATTTAGAGAAAGGGGCTGAGAATGAGGTATTCAAATCCAAAGGAGGTTTTAGCTAGGATACGGGGTTCAATTTGAGGCTGAATCAGAAGTAGTGTTTTGATTGGATGTGATGGTATTGCAATCTCATGAGCTGCTCTTGTGAGATTTGGGCCCAAAGTGCAGAAGTCGTACAAGATCATTTGGATCACAAGATTTCTATAATCTTGACTAGGTGGAATATAGAGAGTTTTCATATTTATTGGTTTAGTTAAAGAAATCAGTGGTAATTTTTCATGAGCAAGGAATGCAACAATGAGCCAAAGAAAAAGGTGGTTATTTAGCCACTATACATCAGAAAAAGAATCAAAAAATATTTGCTAGATTTGCTTTCACTGCAATAGACGCCTCCATATTATAACTGAGAAAAGTTAGAAATGTTGTATTTCAGGAGGACATGGTTGGGGTGGAATATTATGAAGTCATTGCCGTATTATCAAATACTGACTGTGATGTTTCAAGTTAAAAGTAGGAATTTAAAATCAATTTAGCTAGTGCAGTGAGTAACAAATTAGGGAGATATGATTATGACATTTTATACTGATGATTTAACCTTGCAGCAGCACTTTGGCCTATCTGGGGTTGAATTACCTCCTTCTATCCATTTGTAGCATATATCATGCTGTATCACAGGTTTAAAGATGAACTGTTTACATGCTGAAAGCTTCTTTTTGGCGGCTCCTCTGTTTTTGTCATTATCCGAATTAATTATGGATCTCCAGTAAACATGTTGATATATCATAGATTATAAACTCATCTATTGAACTCTTAACCATGGTTGCAAAGCAGATTATCTTATTTAAAGACAGTGGTTTAAAAATTTAGACATTTAATTTAATTATCTTTTCCCAGAAGTATATAAAGAAATCAGAATCCTAGGGTGAATAACATTATGGTTGTATAAGCAAACTTACAATAGCATTTTTGCCTCAAACTCAATAATTTTAGTTATAATCACTAACTATGTTTTCGTTTTACAGAACCAGTACGATTTGGAAAAAGAATAAAATTGCTTTTAAAGTACAAAAATAATTATGAACCACTTGAAACGTAATGTCTGTGTTTTATTTCTCATCAGAATTCATTAGTGTGTAACATCAATAATTTAGCCCATCATTTGCCAACACTGACTTGGCTCAGTAGTTCAATCATGTAACCCTGTAAACTCACTTTCCATTAAAATGAATGTTGCTGACAAAGGATAACTAAAGAGATACTTCATTTATTAACTAAAGAGATACTTCATTTATCAACATTTTTAAATTAGGAGTTTGGGACCACAGATGCTTAGCTGGATAAATTATTCAATGGAATTTTTACATTAGGCCTAAAGACTTCTGTAGAATTAAATACAATGTTATCTGAAATTATAGCTGTCTTTCATTTATGTAACATGTAATTCATAGCATTCTATTCCAGAAGCCAACAGAGCCACCTGCAGAGAAACAAATGACCTACCAGAATGAAAACTTGACTGTCTTATTCAGAATTATAACGTGTAATAGTTACCCTGTATCCTGATTGACTCAACCAAGCATTTCCCATAGAAAAATAATAACTTCTTACTACAAGCACTCTAATCTCCCAAATCACAAAATATCAATTTGAGGCATTAAATATGTTTAAACTATTTTATGGTGAGTCATATCCCCAAATTATTCCTTATCTTCCCCAAATACAGCCTTTAAGACATTCAGATTCCACATCTATTGTCTTATCCCTTGCCTTTCCAATGTTTGAACCTCAATCAGCCACCTGTCCTATTTTAACAGGACATCAGTTGCATTTTCTAAACTTCTGACCTACATCTTGCTGATAGGCTGACACATCACAACTTTGATATAAGCATTTATTGTGTTTTTGAAATATATAGACTACAGCACCTTGGGACAAAATGAGAAATCAGTTAAAGTTCCTGCTCTATCATGTCCTCTCTGACTAGGTCTCTCTGAGAAGATAAGACTCTCTGGGAAACCTGAGCCTTTTTGGAGGAGAAACCAATGTACTATTCAGGACTAACACAAAATAACTGCCATCTGGCTTCCCCCTTTGGTATTGTACACTCCTAATGCTGCCAGTCCTGTGCAGAAACCAGAAATCAGGGCTTAAGCAGCCAGGAAACAAGCCTTTTACTTAATGGTTTCAATATAAATTACTATATTACCACCCTTCCACTTTAAATTCTTCCCCTTCTATGTGGAGGATTACTTCTTTCTGACAAGATACGGTACTGTCTCCCCAAAGGAGCTTCCTTATTCCTCCCTTTCCTTGGGCTTTGTTTTGATAGCATTCTCAGGCCAAGAACCAGACCCTTTCTGGGCACTGTTCTAAGTAAATTGTCTAATAACCTTGTAGCATTAGTGCATTCTGCTCCCCTGGCAGGCTTAGGAGTGAAGGACCAAGACCAGAACTCTTCTTTACATCTTTCACCAAAAGTGATGTTTTTCCAAAATGAGTGGGACATTCTTGCTAAGTCAGAGCTCAATGGGAGTTGAGTGTAAATGTGCTGGACTGAAGAGAAAGATTATGATTGAGATTGGAAAGAAACTAAATGCTGTTACATAATTAAGAAGGCTAAGGAGATTTGTGAGAGGAAAATCCCAGTGTAAAGTATTGTTGTTTCTCTTTTTATCTTGTGGATTGTGGGGACTATCCCTCAGAGAGCTACTCAGGCCTCACGAAGCACTTTGACGATCAATATAGAAACTATTCTTCTTCAATATAAGCTTGTATATATCTTCTCTTGTTCTTTGGAATTAAACTCTGTTGCAAGACTATGGAACCTGTAGCTCTCATTTTGACTCTGTTAGCACTTTTATTTTAAATAGGCCAAAAAGATGAGGATTGAAGTCTTGCACTAGGATATTTATTTCTTACATCTTAAAATTCCATTTACTACTAAGCAATTCCGTACATTGTCTCCTAAAAAATAACGTTAATTTTTCTTTCAGCCCCCTTCAAAATTTTGATAGGCCACTACAGCTTCACTGTTTTGCTTTGACATCACAGCTACCATAGAACTTCACTGGAGCATGGTGATTGCCCATAATGACTCCAATAAATCCCATTTTACTACTATTTGGCACAGATTTTCAAAGCTCCTCTTTATCATGTTGTAGCAGAATATTAAAATAATAAAGAGAAACTTAAAAACCCTGCCAAGTAGTGAAAAGGTTATTTATTTTGTGATAGTGTAACACCGACAGACCCCGGTCATCGGCGGGCGGGATCGAACCTGGGATCTCTGGGGAGCTTAGTGCATGAGCCTCTACCGCATGAGCTAAAAGTCAACTGACTGTTAGCTAAGGTGGTAGAGCAGACTCATTAATATATCTCTCTAAGTGGTCTTAGTGCCACTAGATGGGCCAGAACACCACACCCAGGAAGTATGTGGGTTACAGACTTCCCCTAGCTGAGGAAGCAGTCCTGACCTTCAGAGACTTCCCAGTTGATATCCCAGATGAGCCCCTACTTGTAACACCAACAGACCCCAGTCGTCCGCGGATGGGAGCAAACCGGGGACCTGTGGAGTTTAGTGCATGAGCCTCTACTGCATGAGCTAAAAGCCAACTGGCTGTTAACTAAGGCTGTAGAGCAGACTCATTTTATCTCTCTCTCTCTCTAAGTGGTCTCAGTGCCACTAGATAGGACAGAACACCACACCCAGGAGGTATGTGGGTTACAATAGCATCTCACACTAACCATCAGGAAACAAGAGTGATATGTGCTTAATTGTCAAAGTAGAGGCCTGATCCTGATCCCATTGAAGTCACTGGTAAAACTACCATTGACTTCACTGGATGCAAGATTAGGCCCCATGACTGCTACTTGGGACAATCACAGGGACGGAAAGCCCTGATCCAATAAACTCTCACTTTCTTTCTTTGGTCTAAAGCCAGGTAGCATAGTTTTTCCAATACACTTTTGTTGAGAACATAGGAATTGCCATAGTGTATCAGAGCCTGTGGTCCACCTAGTCCATTATCCTGTCACTGACAGGGCCAGCATCAAATTTTTAGGAGAAGGTGCAAGAAATCCTTCAATAGGCAGGCGTGAAATAATCTGCCCTCCCTTCCATGAAAGCCTGTTCCTAATCCGTAATAGTTAAAGACTGTCTTAACCTCTTAAGTATAAAATGTTGCATGCCTTCTAAAGTATTTGTTAGCATTAATTATTATCATTCTGGATATTCATGTTATCCATATAAATGTCCAATCCTTTTTTCAATCTTGCTAAATTCTTGGCCTCAATGACATCCTGGGGCACCGAGTTCCTCAGTCTAATACCACATTGTGTAACAGATGATTGTCAACAGAAAAGGTCAAATGATACTCTGTTTTGTCTGAGGTTGTAATATTTAATTTAACAAAAATTAATAATAATTAACAAAGCTATAAACTGTGCATTCTAGGCTCTGAGAGGCCAAAATATTTCTCCAAACTTATTTTTTTCTTCTCAATCTCATTTTAAACATGATTCTAGCTCTTTAACCGTGGGCCACATAACCATGTGGGGGCATGTGTTCTATCCCAGTGGAAGTTCCTGGAGTACAAGTGGAGCACAGTGTCACATTGGGAATATTCTAGAGTGCAGAGAGAGAAGAGATAGTTCTTGTATATAACACATTGGAACTGTGCATTATCTCACAGTAGCTGTTGACAGTACATAGTTCTGTGGCTCAGTCTGTGACAGGGCAGATAGCTTTCTTACCCTGCTAAGTATGATGCTGACCAATCTCACTAAAGACTTTTTTGGGCTCCCTTCTCTGTTTCTCCAGCTTGATATCTGCCTCACCCACATCAACATGCAGAAAATTTACCATATCTGGCTGCTATTTGTCTCTTAACCATAGAAGGTTAAAACAAATAGAATACACCTTAACAGTGTCTCTTGCAATAGCACTTTCCCATGGAGGTGCTAAGCAATTTTTTCTGACCTCATTGAGAAAAAACTTCCACTATCTTCAAAAAAAATTTAAAAAGTGAGCATCTCAACCTGAAGGGATTTCTGGGGCTCACTCAGCTTCCGTTGGTTGAGAAAGAAGCTCACCTGTGTGTGTGGGCAAAGGCTCTCTCTAAAGCAACAGCTTTGGTGGCCTCTGGGGCTATGAAATCAGTCTATCCAACCCATGTAAAGGGGAAAGGCTCTCCTTGAGGCAGCCTCAGACATGCAGGAAGAGATATTTCAAGACTTCCACAATGTAAGGGATCTCAGCAGGCCCCCTTTGTTCCCTGCTAGCCCCTGGCCCAAGAAGTACTTGAGTGGATTAAAGAGCCCTTTCTACTTGTTAAATCTTATCAGGAGTCTAACCTGTCCTCTAAGGGTTACCAAAAGGCTTTCCGTGGCTCCCTAGAATTTGACTTTCATGCAGCTTTCATTGTTTCTAGAGATCTATTTGTGTCAAATGCAAATATTTTCCCTTTCAAATTTTAACAATTGTTATAGTCAGCTACAGAGGAAGAGAAGTGTCCTCCCATTTGGAATCTGAGCCATGGGCTGGCCCCATTAGGAAGGTCTCTTAAGGTTTGGAGTATGTGTTTTGCAGAATTCCCTTCCAGTCTGTCCTTCAGGCCAAGAAGGCATATAGACCACCTGCACTTCTCATGGCACCACACAGGGTTTATTGCTAAATGTACTCTGGGACTTAAATATGCACTTAGTAGACTTAGGGTTCTTCTTTACTAGGGGGGATTGTGCAGTTGTGTCTTGCTCAAAAAAAGATATACATTCCCTTGAATGGGAAAAAGGAGTCTGACACTAGAAAGTTGTCCATTTGTCTAGCTTAGCTATTTGCTGAGTATTGAAGTCACAACAAGGAAAAGTTTTCTGTTTCTCTCTTCTCAAAAAAATTGTTTTTAAAATAGCTTATCCAGGGTTTCTTAGGGAGTGAATAGCCTGAACATTATTGCCCAGGACTCTCTCATGTTTTGTGTTTACATCCTCAGCTTCTCTCTGGTGGCTCTCTAATCATCATGAATTTGTCCATGGTAGAGAATATTTTATTCCATCTCCTGTTTCCTTCAGAGGGGATACATTTTGGGGGAAACACCTTGTATTTGACCCTATGTGACTTGCTAGACAGTAAGTTTATCTTCCCATGCCAGCTTCCTAGATGTCACCTGGCATTCCCTGTGCTCTTTCACTAGGCACAATCAGCTTAATGTACAGGCATCTGTGAAGACAGCCACTGACCACATGGTGGTTAGAGCAGAATTTACATGAGGGGATGCTGGTTAAGAGATTAGAAGTTTCCCTTTCCCTTCCTTACCTGTTCATCCACTCCAAGTCCTCTTTTCTAGTTCACTCTCAAGTCTCTCCTTAGAGTGTTTACACATACGTGCTGAGGGCAGGAGAGAATGGAGGGACCCAGGCATAGACATGATGAGGATAAAAGGTGGGTTGGAATATTGTGTTGAAGACAAGCAAAGGGAACATGGAGAGAAGGAAACGGATAGCACTAAGGATCAGAAGGAGGAAAGCAGGGAGTGTAGACTGGCATGATAGAAAGGTACGAAAACAATTGATGGTATTAAAACAGGTAAATTAGAACCCATAGCAGTAGAGAATCAGTAGGATGTAGTTAGAGAAAATTGATATCCTGGAGTGCCAGTTGGTGGAGTAATGGTGAGCTAGTGTCTCCCAGATAGCTTGTTACTGACTCTGGTGGAGATGGTGGGATAGGAGAAAAAAGACAGGCCTTCATTTCTCTCACCACCTCTACTGTTGGCTATTGTGGCTGCCTTTGCATTTTCCATTATGATCTTCATATTATGTATGTATGAATTCCTATTCATATATTACGGTATTTGTGTATGTTTTTTCTAGTTATTTTGTAGATTCGTTATGATTTCTGTATATATTTCCGTTATTATTTTGGATGTAGTATAGTTGAAATGTGTTAGGCAATATTGGCACATTAAAGTTTGCAGCTGTGTAAGGAATTGTTATTGTTATTTTGAGAAATCATTTTCCAAGTGACTTAAAAAATGTACCACTAAAGAGAACTGATTTGTATAAAATTTGAATCCTGACTGGAGGTTTATCACATTCTTAGCCTCAAGGGAAAGGAATCCTCCATAAACAATATATTGGAAAACTCTGAGTTTGAATATTGATAGGACAAAAGCCTTTTGCAAATCTCTAACACTGTAGCCTTTGGGGATAAGTCTGAGGGGCACTCAATCTCTAAGTAATGTTTGGCCAAATGGATAGTATAGTATAATGTGTCACAATGTTTTACCAGGCAAATTCAGCAAGAATTACTGCTTCATGCCTTTGTCAGTTACTGATAGAAGATATCTGTCAAACATCCACTTCAATCTCTAGCTATATTTTCTAAAATTCCTCTATTTTAAGCAGTTTGGATGGGGAAAAGTTCCATTCTGGTTAACTTTTCTTCAGTATTTCCTCCAGAAAACAGGTACTTGCAAGCTTCCAAGAGTGGAACTAGTATAGAAGAGACTTCCATTAGTGAGAGAACCAAGTTACTCACCTTTTAACAAAAGTTCTCTAACCTTTTTGGGGGGAGGGGGGACATATCTGCATTTTCTTCCTTTTTTTGTTATGTTATGTGGAGCAGTTCAGGAATTGAGAGCTGGGAAGGATTGTTACATTTGTATAAGACAGAGCCTGATTTTCCTGGTTTACATCAGCTTAACTCCATTAACTTCAGCAGAGTTGCATCTGATTTACATCTCTGTGAAAGTAGAATCGTGTTTTCAGTCTTAGCGCTGAACCACACAGTATGACACACATTCTCAGTCTTTATTTCTAATACTAGAGTGCTCCTACAATTGAATGCCATGTCAGATTGAGGAGGCAAATTAAAGGTGAGCAACTTTCTTTTGTTTTGTTTTTAAAGTAAAAATATTTTTAAATTTCTAAACAGAAATAAGGAAATATTGAATTGACACACTAAAAGAAGATGTAAATGTCTCAGAAACTGCATTTATATGGCACATTTTATAAACACTATAAAGTAAAGTAAGCTGAACTTTCTGAGCAAGGGGAAAGGACATTTTCCCTTGACCCCATACATCAAAAACACATATGATGCTAAAATTGAGAAATGGTGCCTAGTATAAAAGAATACATTTCCTCAGTAGCAAGTATGCTAAGAACCAAATCCTTATGCCATTAGGTCTTAAATTTGATTTTTTGATTCTTAAATTTGTTTTACATGAATAACTCCTTGATTTAAATTATCCTTGATTTAACATTTGTGAAATCAGAACCACATCCTTTGCCTTTAACTTCCGTGGAGACAGAAGGATATGGCCCCAATTGTCTATCAGGCAGTGCACAGGATCCTAAATCTGTACCTAAGCCTGGGCCCCAAATAGACAAATCAATATGTTTTTGTTGCTGAGCCAGCATGGAAAATTGTATTTTAAAACAATGTATTCTAAGTGTTTTATTAAATCTATTTTGCAATCAAGTGAGTATGGTTAATAAACTATCACTTGATAATTAGTTTCCCCACTTACAAGTGTGAGATATTAAATGTCATACTTAGCAAAATTTACATATATGTTAATTCTAGCTCAATATCCATATTAACGGCAATACAGCACATACACATAAAAGTCATTGACTCCACAGACAACATTTTTCAAACTGTTACACACAGTCATGTATTCTATAGTAGGCGTACATGTTCTAATAATAATCAGTGTGTATTTTTCAGCCCTACATGTCTAGAGACCTCTAATCACCTTAACGACATTGAATACAAAAAAAGTACAAATTAAAGCTTTGATTTTGCCTCCCTTTCTCATGTTGAGTAGTGCTTATTCACTCATGCCCTCCTATTCAGCAGTCCATCCCTATTCAACAAAGCACTTAAGCACATGCCTAATTTTAAGTATGTGCTCATGTGCTTTATTAAACAGGCATGGGACATAAGTTTGTGTTTAAATGCTGTACTGAGATGGGGCCTCAAAGTGTACCATTGAAGTCAGCGGTGAATAACTTAATGCGAATAAGATTCCTTACATTACATATTAACCGTATAAGGCAACATATTTTAATGAATGGAAAACAAGATTAATATAAACACAACAACCCTTTCCACAACATCCACAAAGCATAAAACATGAAACCGTCCATGAACAAAATAACAACAAAAAGAGTATAACATAAAATTGTCTTTTAAATTTAACTTTTAGCAAGTCTCTTAGAGTACGTCTTCACTACCCTCCGTATCGGTGGGTAGCAATCGATTTATCCGGGATCGATATAGCGCGTCTCGTTAAGACGCGCTATATCGATCCCCGACCGCGCTCACCGTCGACTCCGGAACTCCACTAGAGCGAGCGGCGGTAGCGCAGTCGACGGGGGAGCCGCGGCCATCGATCCTGCGCCGTCTGGACCCCAGGTAATTCGATCCAAGATACTTCGACTTCAGCTACACTATTCGCGTAGCTGAAGTTGCGTATCTTGGATCGATCCCCCCCCCCAATGTAGACCAGCCCTTAGTCTTTCAGTGTCAGTTTCTACATCTGTAAGACATGGGATGGCAATACTTACCTTCTTTAGACTGTTGTGAGGATTAATTATATAATTTAGCATACAAAACAGTATAAGTGTGGGTATTATTGCTGTAGTTGTTTTTTATTATTATTTTATTATTTGTTAAAAGTCTATGTACTCGAAACATATTTTACCAGAAGTTAGCAAACTATTTATAGAGAAAAATTTCACCCCTTTTTCTGTTTGTAGATTGTTCACGAACTGACTTAGATTTTTACAAATTTGTTCTTGATTTGAAATTAGTCCTCATGCGTTTCATGCAAACAAAGTTAGTTGATGGGTTGCTCACGTAGTCACATGATATTGTTTCTGTTCCCAATTTGGATGAGGTTGGCTGTAATAAAGAAGTGGAAGATGTGATTCTCTCAGTAGAGGATGGCAGTGGTTTGTGGAAAGAGAAGGAGTTAGATGGAATTTACAACAACAGAAGGATTAAGAAATTCACAATATTGTTGTCACAAACAAACTAATGATTTTGCCGTGGATGAGCATGCCCAACCCTAGCTGAGAAGGTAGCAGTTGTCCATACAATATACTCTGTGCCAATGCTCTGGCTATGGTTCTAGAAGCAATATGGTTCTAGAAGCCACATATTTCAAGCAATGTCCCATCAACAACCATATTTTGAAAGTAGGTTAATGGCATTAGTTGAACATATTGGTCTCCATCTTTCTGTCATGTCATCCTCATAATTGACCACCGCCATTGACATGCACTAACTGTGGAGTGACTTTTCATGCATGATCCTAGTTAGAAAGGCGGTGTAAAAACTCTGTAATAACCTATATGTCTTGGCTTTGGCCAGTGGTTTTGGAAATATGTCATCAAGTCTGTTCTTCTGTGTGTTAATTAAGCTTTGTGATGTTACTAACTGCCTCTTTTGGTCAATGAATTAGAAGTGGAAATGGAGGAAGTCTGGATCTGGCAAAAAAAAACAAAAAACATGTATAGATGTTTAGGCCTCAAGCAGATGCTAGGGTACAAGCCTTACATGGGCATCACAAGCATAACTGTGTCATCTCAATCTAGCATTTCTGCTAGTGGCAGACCACAGCTATCTGCTGCACAGAAATATCAGCCTCTTGTTCATACTAAGGGAAAAGCAATCTGTCAAGGACGGGGGGACCCCTTTTGAGTACAGGGGATGTAGTACAGGATGTTGTCCTATCACAGGGCAATAAAATGAAATTAATGTATATGGAGAGGGAGTATTAATCCGCGGATGACATGTATTATGGTTTTCGCCCTTTTAAAAGAGAAGAAAACTCAATGCTGGTAAAGTGCCAATTACTTCTTCAGGAAAGGGGTAATTGCAGGAATAGCATGAGGTGCATGGCAAGGAAGAGAAGAACATGAAGAAGGAGGGAGTCTTCCAGTACTGTTGATAAATATTTAGTGCGTAATGTGCTCCATGCAGAAAACCTGCTAGTGATTGTCTTATTTGCACAGGAGGACATATCACCTTTTTTCTGAAGGTCATTTTATGAGAGTTATTGTTCACAAGTGGGGAAGGAGTGAGCAACACAGAGACTACCAGCCTCAGTATTCAGGAATAGGTAATTGGCAGACGGACTGTAAAATTTTCAAAAGCTCTGTGTTGACTTAGGGGCCTAAATCCCATTTTCAAAAGTGTCTAAGTTCCACTGACTTTCAATAGATTTTCACTGGAACTGTTGCTCCGGTGTCTTAGTTGCTTTTGAAAATGGGACTTAGGCCCTTTCCAAACAATTCAATAGAACACAGAAGACAGCCTCACACTCTTCCTAGTAAACGTGTTAGAAACTCTCTTTCAAATGTCTATTTTATTATTTTATTTGATTACCTAAAAGTCATACTCATCTGTCTTTACATGCCTCTGAGATCGGCAAGTGGATGGGTGAAAATAGGCCCACTTACTAAATTATTTACTTATTCTTTGTTTATTTTTTTTTAATGGTATCACATGTGTTTGGTAGTGGAAGATCGCTAAGTGTTCATTTGGACACCTGCAATGCTCTCTGGACCAGGGCAGCCTATTTGCCGAGTAACAGGCCTGTTACAGTAGTGCTACTGCTAAATAGTAATAGCTCAAGAAGAAAGAGAAGGTTGTGTGTTAGTCTGTCCATATGATGGCGAGGAGGATGTCAATACTGTTTCTTCTGATGCTGTCAGGGAATTCTTTAAAGTAATGTATAGGCATCACTTTATATAACAATACTTTCCTTCAGCAGCAACATGTTTGTGTGATGCTGCTTCTCTGGTACAAACCTTCTACATGTGAACAAGAGACTTCTGCAGTTGGCAGAGAGTTCTGATGTTCCATTTATACACCGTAAGTTTGAATTCCATGAACAAAATCTCTTTTAAAAGGAGATTAAGGTTTGTTAAGTGTGACGTTCCCCAGTGCAAATGCTAAAATGCATGGAAATGGGATGCTTCATATCCATACCCTAATTACCATGCAACCAGTTTTCATTGACAATGACAGACTCCAACAAGGAACATCCTTCTGCCTCCAGCTGGTCCACAGGGCTCTGTGTAGCTAGCAAATTCCAACCTGCCACCCAGGAACCTGGTAACTGTTGTCAGAATAGTAGCTGAACTCAGACAGAGGACCCCAGTCTTGGGAGCTAATTGGCAGAACACTGGTGGCCCTAATTGGTCCACAGCCCCTATGTAAACCCAGCACAGGAACAGGACATTGTCCATGCAATTGGGATCCACCTTGCTCTGGACTGTGTGCCTTGTGCTTCCTGCTCCTGCTCCCACTCCCTGGGCTTGACTTTGTGGTATTCCAGCCTGGCCTTACTGGTTATCGATTCGTGATTTTGCTCTCAAGTTTGTCTCTTGCTTCTGATCTCCTGGTAACCTGACTCTGCCTGCCTCCTGACACTTGACTCTCGATTTGCCCTCTGGCCCATTCAAACTCTGACCTTCTG